CTTCTTTCACTGACCCTCTACTTTACCAAGTATGATGTCCTTCTCCAGGGACTCATTCCTCCTGGTAAAATGTCCAAAGTATGTGAGACATAGTCTCTCCATCCTTGCTTCTAAGGAGCATTCTGGCTGTACTCTACTAAATCATCCAAACCTTTCCCGACTCCTGGGATCAGAAAGCAATCTGCGAAGGTTTGGCTCTACGGCATACTGGCTGGCCTGCTATGCAGCTGGGCTGTTCTCAGGCTAGCTTTCTATTCTCAAAAAAGAAGTGGAGCTGAAGAGTTCCTCTCCCTGAACTCTTGGTTCTAATATGTGATATCTTCCTAGGGATCTCCATGCTGATGGACTCAGTTAAATTCTCCTCCTCAGTCACAAGTGGTAGCAGAGACTAGAACGTGTTCTTTTTTTGCCCTGGGAACTCAGCCAGGCCATGCTCTTCCTTTTTTTTCAATCATCTGGCTGAAGAAGATCTGAGGACCAAAGTTTATGGGTGGGTAACAGGGGCGAGTTGGAGCAGGAAAGGGAGAGTAATTGCTTAGGGGCAGTGAGCTTCTCTTAAGGGTAATGGAAAAATCTGGAAACTAATAATGGTGATGGTTGAACAACATGATTAACATAATTAACATCACAGAATTGTACACCTAAAAACTGCTGACATGGCAAATGTTTTGTTGTAGGTATTTCACCACAATGAAAACTTCAAATCCTGTCCCCCATTCAAAATAAGACACCTCAGAGGGTCATATACTTATTCCAACAACGTTCTCATGCTAACAGCACTTTCATCAACTTCTTTATGAAATTTTTTTCAAAGCCCAAGGTGTATTATTTTAAATCTCTTCTGTGGTGGGACATCTCTGTTATTTAGCTAATAAACATGATATCTGGAAAGGATCAGAAGTTGTTACGGGTGACCAAGCTATGCAGCAATAGTAACAGGCATAGCCAAACACCTACTTCACGCCAGTGCTCCTCCAAGTAATACATACTACACGCTTCATGTTAGGATCCCTTTTTACAGATGAGAAACTACTGTTTTGGGAGACTAAGTGGCCTGACTATATTACCAATGCGATGGAGCCAGAATCTGTCCCAGATCTGTCTTTGAAATCCACATAATTATACTGATTTCCTACGTCCCCTCTAGGAGTCCTTGGATAGTACAAGTGGTTAACATACTTGGCTGCTAACTCAAAGGTTGGAGGTTTCAACCCACTCAGACATGCCTCAGAAGAAAGGCCTGGTTATCTACTTCTGAAAATCCAGCGACCAAAAACCCTATGAAGCACAATTCTACTCTGACACGTGTGGTTACCATGAGTCCGAGTCAACTTGATAGCGACTGGTTTACGTGCCTTGGAAGTTGACTCTTAATGCAATTCCAAAGAAGAAATCCCTTCCTGACTGGAGAAACCCTGAGAGTATGGCCCCCGGACAACCTTTTAACTCAGTAATGAAGTCACTCACGAGGTTCACCCTTCAGCCAAAGATTAGACAGACTCACAAAACGAAACAAGACTAAAGGGGCACACCAGCCCAGGGGCAAGGATGTGAAGGCAGGAGGGGACGGGAAAGCTGGTAACAGAAAACCCAAGGTCAAGAAGGTTAGAGTGTTGACATGTCATGGGGTTGGTAACTAATGTCACAAAACAATGTGCGTACTAATTGTTTAATGAGAAGCTAGTTTGTTCTGTAAACCTTCATCTAAAGTACAATAATAAAAAAATAAAGAATTCTTACATTGGTTATATGTGAAAATGGTAATATTTTTGACTTATTGCTTTAAATAAAACATCTAATAAATATAAGAAAGAAAAAAATCCCTTCCTCTTGCCAACACCAGAACATTCTGAATAATGGCAGCGTTGTCAAAATAAATGCAGAGCATGCAGGGCCATTAATTTGAAGAGAACAAATTCATTTGTACAAGTTCAAGTGTATGTGTGTACACATTCATACGCACGTGTGTTTATATTTTTAATCCTCATTAATGTCAGGCACAGCCCGAAAGCAATCGCCTTCTTTAGCTCATGGGCCTTCCACTGATGTCAATCAGTCCGTGAGGGAGGAGGGACAAAAGGGAGGGAGCAAGAAGGAAGTAGACAGAAAAGGTAGATTATCGTAGTAGCAAGGAGACCAGTGGGTAGGAATGAGGGCAGATTGAAGTGGCAAGTCCTTTGGATAAATATTTTTCAAAAGGAAAACATGTATTATTGGCAAGGCCACTGCTTAAGAAAAAATAACCTTACACAGGCTTTTTGCTATAAAAAGTATACATTATGATCTTGAACTGAAACCACCCCCCTCAAGTCACCTTTTAGCTAAATAGGCTATCTCATAAAGTAATGAATGTCACCCTTCAGTACTGTGTTCTTTCAAAACATCAGCTATATGACAACAAACGGTCAACTAAATACTCTAAGGCACAGATGAGAAGGTTGGGGGAGCTGGGAGACCAAGTTAATGGGTACAAGAACAATAGGAATCAAAATAATGACAATGCTGACACAATGTGAGGACTGTAACCCACGTCACTCAACAATTTGTGCAGAAATTGTAGAATGGGAACCTATTCTGCTGCGTACACTTTCACCGAAAACACAATGAAATATTATTTTTAAAAAGTATGTATTATCAAAGTGGCTTCAATATTCAGCTATCATCTACGTAATTCTCTCATTTTATAAGACAAGCCGGGACATATAAAGGGACGGGGCTCTACAATTGCACATGGAAGCCCTTGGCTTGTTTGGGTTGCCTTCCAGGGCAACAAAATCTAAACTAAAGCCTGCTGGGAAGAGTTTAACTATATCATGGTATTAGCAGAAGCAGCATAAACAAACTAGTGGATGCAGAGTGCTGTGCTAAAACCTGGGAGTTCTAGTCCCAAACCTTGTGCTCACCAGCTGTGGTTATACTTTGGGCTCTTGCCTTTCTTTGTTCCTCTTCTCTAAAATAAAGGGTTTGGACTAAACCGTTTCTTCTAAGTTTGCAGATTTTGTGGTTCTATCCCCTACCAGGAAAACAACAACACGTATGTATTCTTCTTTTGCAACACGCTTGTAGGTACCTGGAGACAATGCACAGTAAATGTGGGAAGACAGCATCTTTTTTTTTTTTTTTACTTTTGAAAAACATGTTATAAAGAATGGATATTTCAAGAAACATGAATTTAGAAAGTGAGACAAGAGTGAACTTAAACAGAAGAGAGAAAGAAAAGGATTACTGCAGAGAAGGCGAGCCCATCCTGCCTTCCTGGGGGCGAGCGTCCCTCCAACGGAGCAATGACCTGACTTGGAAGCCCAAGGGCTGAGGATGAGGCAACTGCTGTGTGTTCTGGAACAAGCTGTCTCCTTCCAGCCACTATGGTGTAGGCTGGATTCAGTATAACATTCATCTAAGATGCCCCACACCCATTCTTAGAGCCCACAGGCAGCTTCTCTCTCCACAGCTATCCTTAACTCATTTAAGCTGTAGAATGACACATCAGACATTCCAATAAATGTGTCACACACTCACTTCCGTCTCCATTTGCTGAGTAATTCAATCAGTTAAATTTTGGCAGAATTATTGGGGGTCTTGACTCAAAGACGCAGGAAATAGAATATAATAAGTACACTCCTCGTACTTTGTGATAGGCAAGTTTTGTTTTGCTTTCCACCTACGACTTTGCTTCCAATATTCTCTGAAACATCCTTCTGCCTGCTGCCTGAGTCCCTGATCAGAATCTTCCAACTGCATTAGCGTATCTAATAAAGACCTATCTGTAGCAGCAAGAGTAAATAAATATTGCTCATGAAGGACTCCATGCCGTTGAGATGCAAGCAGATTTAACTGCTCAGTGGAAACTTGAAGCAGCTTTGAAGGGCTTATGCATGCACTGAAGTGGAAGGTATGAGGAAAAATTGGCCAGCTCAAGCCGGCTTTCCCAGTAACACAGAGAACGTGCCATCCAAGTGCCAAACATCATTCGTTACCGTCAACCTGTAGAAATTAATTTATGGCCATGATTTGCTTCACTTCCTAAGAGTTAAAGGTCAACTGTAATGCAGGAAAATTCATTATTTGTCCATCACTATTTTCCCCTTTATAGATACAAGGTAACTCCATAAAGTACCTCAGAACCACATAATGCCAAATCCTACTGTGACTTTGTTGACAGCTGGCCAAGTGAAACCCAGAGCAAAACAGTGATTGGACCTCATGTATAAAGAAACATTGCAATATTCAGAAAATCTCTAGTTTGATGGAGAAGATGAGGTTCTCAGCATCAAGGACCCTGCTCTGGCCTATAATACAGAGCCATTGTCTAACGGCAATTTGTGTTCCCAAGTTCCGATTATACTAGTTCACGAAGATGGCACCCTTCTTATCTATCATACAACGATGTTAACTCTGCTGCTTAAACGAGTTCCCCTCAGTCTACGATATCAATTCCTTATTCATGTGCACGTGGTCCTTTCAAGACATGGTCCCATGAGTCACTTTAGCCCCCTCACCTGTGTCTACTTCACCAGCACCTTGTGTTCTAGTCGCACTGGATGCTCCCTGAGTGCACCCTGCACACGAAGAAGTCTGTGCTCATACTCCATCCTGTCTACACATAACGGTCTTGTCACCATTCCCCTCCCATGTCACCCTCTCTCTCTCACCCATGGGGTCATTCTTACTAATTCTTCAAAACCCAGCTCAAAAAACCTCAGAGAAGCATCTCTAAAACACCCAAGCAGAGCAAATCCCTCCCATAGCACTTTGGACAAAGCTTCATTATGACATTTATCACCCTGTGCTATGAAGATTTATTTACGTGTCAGACCACACAGCTAGAATATATGTTCCAAAGACAGAGTCCTTGAGGACAAAGACCCTACCTTATCCATCTTCATAACCTTGGCATTTAGCACATGACCTGGCACATACTCTAACGCTGAATGAAAGAAGGAAGCAGAATTCAAAAGGTGGCGTGTGTCAAAAGCCTAGACACGTGTTGCCATTCTTACCTATTCAGTGCAAATGCATAGTGGAACTTCATATTATGCTGATCGGCCAAGTCACACGTAGGCAGCATTTCCAGCGTCTCTACCAGCTTCACCATCGCATCATAGTCCTGTTGGCAAGAGATCTCAAGATGAGAAAGAGAGGAAACACAGCTCTTTACCAATTTTTCTGAATAATTATAAACGTGAGACAACTGTGAGATTTAAAGTGAAGTTACCTGTAGCCTTAATAGTACAAAAGATCAGAAAACAAGACAAATGAGAGACAAAAAGACAGAGAAGGAATCCCTGCTATCAGAGGCCACGCAGGGACCCAGAGAAAAGGGTTAAACCTAAAGGCAATGGGAGCAAATGAGCCCATTATTCTGGAAAAGGCCACCTTGTTTCTACTGCAGGAGAGTTAACGACACCAGCAGAGCTGTGAGTGGGAACAAGTTGGACATAAACGCCCAAGAAAACTTACCACTTAAAGGGAAGTCCCTTCTATTTTGCCAGAAACAACCGAGTCCATCTAAATCAGGATTTCTTCACCTCGGTACTATTTACATTTGGACCGGATCATTCTTAGCTGTGGTGGGCTGTCCTGTGCACTGTAGGATGTTTAACAGCATCCCTGGCCTCGACCCACTAGATGCCAGTAGCATCCTCACCCCCACCCCAGTTGTGACAACCTAAAACATCTCTAGATTTTGCCAACTGTCCTCAGGGCAGCAAAATCGCGCCTGGTTGAGAATCCCTACTCTAAACTTCAATAAACTATCCAGGGAAAAATTGCTACCATGTTTGTCTCAGCCAAGACCCCAGTTAGCAGCCCTACCTGCTACCCTTTCAACCAGCCTTAGAATCATGGGTACTGGCCAACTCACCAACAGCGAGCCACAGCTGGACAAGAGGCATCCCACCAAAATCCCAGGCCCATCTCATGGCTCTACACCCTGATGCTGGTGGCCCACAGCATCTTCCAGGAACCTCCTGGCTCACCTAGAGCCTGAGACTCCCATCAATGGAAAGTGATGAAAAGAAGAGATGCATGAAACCAAGGAGGGGAGGAAGCCAGCAGCTCAAGGGAGCAAAGACTTCAAGAAAAGCTATTCCCATTCTCTTGTTCCTTGGGGTAGGCATGAATCATTGTCACAATCCCTAAATTGCATCTGCTATGAAAATCAGTTACATGCATTTGTTTATCACTAGGGGCTTGAGTTCCTTAGTGCTTGATCGACTCTGTTCTTGATTTGCTACATTTCCCCAAAATCTAGAAAAATGCCAGGTTATGAACAGATGTCTCCCTCATTTAGATTTAAAAACCTGTGGCCACCAACCTCCAACATGGCTTTCAAGAATTTTGCAGGTACGGTACAGTACCTGTGTTCCACCAAAGAGAAGGTAAGCTAGATACCCTCAGAAGTGGCTGAATGGCATTAAACTTACCCATTGCCGTGGAGTTGATTCCGACTCATAGGGACGTTATAGGACAGAGAAGAACTGCCCCAGAGTTTCCAAGGAGTGGCTGGTGGATTCGAACTGCTGACCTTTTAATTAGCAGCCAAACGCTTAACCACTATGCCACCAGGGCCCCAGCATTAAACTTGGAGGCAGAAAATGCTCCATTTCCTTCATGGTACCCACATCCCACAAGCCCTGTCTCAAGAACGCTACAGAAGCCTCTGACGCTTCCCTTGGAATAAACATCTGTGTTTCCCTGCGTCCCACACTTGCCTCTGCTACCTCCTGCTCTCCTTGTCACTGACAGGTGGTGGTAAACAAAGAAGGACGTGACAAAGGTGTAAAGGAAGCGGCACAGCAGAGGGATGAAGAGCAACGATAACAGAGCCAGTCTGCCTCAGTGTGAATCCTAACTTCACCAACTGCTTTGTGACCTTGGGCAAGTTACCTAACTACTTTGTGCCTCGGTGTCCTCACTGGTAAAATGGGGATAAACAGAGCATATACCCCATAGGGTTGGTTAAGAGGATTAGATGGACTAGTATTTGCAAAGGGCTTGAACAATGCCTAGAATAACATGCATATACAGAGTTAAAGTCTGAGTTCCGTATACTGAGCAGATTTGTATATGAGGTCTCGTTGGAGTGGCCTTCTGAATGCATGCCATCCCAGATGCGGCCAAACCCCCTCCAATGTTTCCACCACAACAGACCCGCTGGGTGACCGATGACCAAGCCATATATCACTTTGTCTATAAAACAGCTGCCTTACCATACATACAGTATGACAGAACTTCATAGGAGGAGTTTCTCAGGCCGAAGAGGGACTCGGCATATTTGAGCCTCAAATGAGCATGGTTCATACCTGGATATCACGGTAGGACAGCAGTAAATTAATGACGATGTCTGAAGTCAGAACCTCGGTGTTGTCCATGCGGAGTTTGATCCGAGCCAGCTCCTTTGCCAGTTCATCACCCTGGTATTTCTCTCTGGCTTTCCGAATATCATTCAACAAGGTTTCTTTGTAATAAGCACTGGAGAGGGAGACATGGGAACCTCTTGTCACATTAACATGTACCCAGGTCTACCTGTTTCCTTTAGTGGAGCAGTCAGACATGGTCCTCATTGGTGTGACTTAGGCTAATACATGGGGGCCAAAGCCCAGTCCTGAGCCTCCCTGTGCTATAAACGTGAGACATTTGCTATTTAGATACTACTTGCTATTTAGATTTTCCAAAACTAACTTAATGGTCTGAGACTGGAGGAACCCCGGAAAGCATGGCCCCTGGATTGTCTATCAGCCCAGTACTAAAACAATTTCCAAGACCAACTCTTCAGAGAGGGATTGGACAGGACTGTGGGACATAAAGTGATACTTGTGAGGAATATGCCCCTTAGTTCAAGTAGATACAAGAGACTAAACGGGCAGTCTCTGTCCGGAGGTGAGATGGGAAGGCAGAGAGGGTTAGGAGCTTGTTGAATGGACGTGGGGAATCAGGGGTGGAAAGGAGGAGTGTGCTGTCACAGTATGGGGAGAGCAATTAGAGTCACATAACAATGTATGTGTAAATTTTTGTATGGGAAAAAATAAAAAAATTAAAAAATATATACATAGATTTTCCAAAACTAAGTAGCACTGGTGGCACAAATGTTTAAGTGCTCGACTGTTAACTGGAAGGTTGGTGGTTCAAACCCACCCAGTGGCTCCTCAAGAAAAAGACCCGGTGGTCTGCTCCCATAAAGATGACAGACAAGAAAACCCTATGGGGTAGTTCTACCCTGTCACAGGGGGTCACTATGAGTCGAAATTGACTCAATATGCACCCAGTAACAACCACCACCAGTAAACGGAGCCTTTGGGCGGTGTAAATGGTTAATGTGGCAGCCGTGAGTCGGAGTCAACTCAGTAGCAACTGTTAACCAGTAAACAGTTAAAAAACAAATTGGTTCACTTGAACCTTGAAAACATTGTTAAGGGTGATTCAATCTGCATTTGGAAGACAATCCAACCCACTTCTCCGGTATCTTCAAACACATAGAGGGCAATAAGGTATCTTACTTGACTATTTCCTCCACTAATAACAGAATTTCTATCACCAAGCCAAAAAGAGCCCCAAAAGCCATGAAATATAGTAAAATGAAGACTTCTTTAAAAATTATTTTCTCCATCAGGTGTTCCATGCTCGTAATCTCGAAGAGTTTCCCAGAGATCGAGAACCTGGAAACTAGTCATGGCCTCGAGCAAGAATACACACAAAAGCCAGGCCAGGAAGCTTCCCGACAGCCTCATCTTTGGCCCTCTCGCTTTCCTTGTCATTTTGGACTGTCAGAATGGTTTTATATACAGTAAAATGTAAAACTGCCTTCTCGTGGGCTGCTCCATAGGGTTTTCTTGGCTACCATCTTATGGAAGCAGATTGTCAGGCCTTTCTTCTGTGGTGCTGCTGCGGGATTCAAACCACCAATCTTTAGGTTAGCAGTCGAGCACAAACCATCTGTGCCACTCAAGGACCTTAGATAATAATGGGGATGTTTAAAAACATTTAAAGCGGCTTAAGACTACATTGGGTCATTGAATTGTGGGTGTAGAAACTGTTGCCTAATGTTTTGTTGTGTTTGCACGACAATAGAAATTTTTTTTTTAAATAACACTTACCAGAACAACCACACTGGAATATTTCGCCATACCCTCTTAAAGAACCAATGCTAGTAACTGGTACTTGGTTTAAAACCTCTATAAATGACCTAATTTGGTGTACAGAGGCAGACTTGCAATAACCATACCAAAAAAAAAAAAAGCTGTTGCCGTTGAGTTGATTCCAACTTACAGCAACCCTACAGGACAGAGGAGAACTGCCCCATAGGGTTTTCAAGAAGCAGCTGGTGGATTCGAACTGCTGACCTTTTGGTTAGCAGCTGTAGCTTTTAACCACTAGGTCACCAGGGTTTCCACAATGACCATAGGTTGATCTAAACATCTTGTCTAATTATCAAGCAATTTTTTTTATGGGGACTGTACACTGCCAAGCACTGTCAATCCATTAAGTAGCTGAAATGATCTAACTGTAGGGAGCAAAATTAGGCTGTTCATTAAAGAAAGCAAACTACTTGAAATTAGTCTCCAGAGAAAGAGAAACAACAAATGAGAATGAATAAGAACAAACGTTATTTACTTTTTACTAAGAATAAAACTATATCAAATAAACTTACAGACTCTACACAGCCTGGTTCTAGCCTCAGAACAGGGCCCCAATTAACATCTACAGGATGAAGGGGTGTCCCACAGCTGTGGCATCACTAGAGTTGATGTCACCCAGGGTGGTAACTCATGGTGCCACTCCCCCACCAAGGACCTCCTCCCATACCAGAACATACAGAATCCTTAGTAACGTTTTTTGTACTAATGTTACTCGTAAATCTTAATTCCTGTACATCGCTCCTTTTCCTTTAATTACTACTTCATTCTCAAAAGTTATTGATATAGGTTCACAAATACTGATTACCACAACATTGTAGCTAAAACACCAGAAAATTTGACAAAATCAGTAACTACAAAAAAACATGAGCAGCGATGAAAACAACAGCACGTGCTTCTAGCGCATGCAGGCAAAACCACATGATTCGAAGCATCACTGTACTTGGGTAATAATGACAGCTCTGACTGGAGTGCATCAAAATATTCAAAACGTAAACGAGCATACTCTTAACCTTGCAGGTATACTGATACATGTAAGCTGGGCTTATGAAAAATATTTTTGTTGTTGTTATAACTAGCTACACAGATATTTTTATAAAAAATAATAAATTTCTCATCCCAGCTGAAGCAAAGGTGAACGAAGAAAACCAGACACAAGGAAAATATCAGCACAAAGGACTAAAGGAACACATGAACCAGAGATTCCACCAGCCTGAGACCAAAAGAACTAGATGGTGCCCGGCTACTACCACCGATGACAGGGATCACAACAGAGTCCTAGACAGAGCAGGGGAGAAAAACGTAAAACAGAATTCAAATTCACAAAAAAAGATCAACTTACTGGTCTGACACAGACTGGAGGAACCTCCGAGACTATGGCCCCCGGATACTCTGCTAACCCAGAACTGAAACCATTCCCAAAGCCCACTTTTAAGACAAACATTAGACAGGCTTACAAAACAAAAACTAACACACGTAAGGAACGTGCTTCTTAGTTCAAATATACAAGACCAAATGGGCAACTCCTGCCCAAAAGCAAGAGAAGGAAGGAACAGGAACTGGACACATGGACACAGGGAACCTGGGATGGAAAGGGGGAGTGTGCTGTCACGTTGTGGGGGCTGCAACCAACATCACAAAACAGTATGTATATAAATTTCTGAACGAGAAATTAACTTGAGCTGTAAACTTCACCTAAAGCACGATAAAATTGAAGTAATAATAATAAATAATAATAATAATAAATGTCTACTAAAGCACTGTCATTTTCGTGTCACCTCCTCTGACAGTGTCACCCGATGTACTCTGTAACCCCCACAACCCCTAGTGACATCACTGCCCTACATGAAGGGTTCTGATATAAAAATATCAGTGTATTGCTTTCACCGTTTATTTCCTTCTTTGCCTATCGTGTATTATCCCAACGATGAGCAAATTAGCAGATCCTGCCAGCTGTTTAAAGTTCGGTCATTAATCTCACGAGTCATTAAGCTGGGTGACAGCCATTGCATTTGGTGCTCAATAAAGGCATCAAAGCTACTCAAGTGTTATTAGTTTAGCCTACCAAGTAAAAAGCTATACTTTAGCTCTATTTTCATGGGTAATTCTGAAAAATAGTTTTAATAAGCTAGGAACCACTAATAAGAGCAGTAACTTGTAAGTAAATAAATCAAACACTAAAATGAACATGGCTCAGAGACATCAGATATGTAATAAACACACGGCCATTGCTCCCTCCGGTAAGCCGAGAAGACGTTGCTAATCAATGTGAACTTAGAAATGGCTTCAAAATCCTTTTACCCACCCGGGGATCCAGGCATCCTTTGTTCATCTATCAGAGTTGGCATTTGAGCTAAAAATCTATGGGCCATCCCTGTTCACAAAAAAAAAAAAAAAAAGAAAAACACCCCAACTCGTGGAGACCTCATGTTTTTCTGAGCAGAACTGTGTGCATAGGGTTTTCAACGGCTGCAACCTTATAGATGTAGATCACCAGGCCTTTCTTCCAAGGCACCTCTACGAGTGTTTGTTCGTGCCATTCACGGACTCTACACTTCACCAAACACCAAACCTGTTGCCGTCGTTTCTGACTCGTGGCCACCCCATATGTGCAAAGTAGAACTGCTCCATAGGGTTTTCAAGGCTGTGACCTTTCAAAAGCAGATCACCGGGTCTTCCTTTCAAGGCACCTCTAAGTGGGTTAGAACCAGCAACGTTTCAGCTAGTAGTCGAACACGTAATCGTTTGTGCCACCCAGAGCCATCCCATCTCTGTTAGGGATGTTTTAAACTACAAGCACAATCTACCCTCTTACATTCTCAGACATCTGCCAGTTCATGGGGTGGGAATACACCAACAGGTCTTTCAAATTCTACCAAAGTCCAAGAGTTGTTTTCCTACCAACACATCCATAAGAAACAAACCTGAGTCCATTTCTTGCAAAGTCCTGACTTAACTGGCAGATTCAAGCTAGCCCACCTCTTTTGTCAGACCTAAAAATATGGTATTGGGAGAGCATTGTCTCTAAATTTCACTAAAATGTTAATTCTGCAATCAGAGGACAGTTAGCAAGGGGAGGCTGAGTGACGTTTTCTTGGAGTGTGCTCAAAATGTCCCGTTTACTTTCAATGTTGCATGTGACCACACACATCTGGGTTTCCAATCTTATTTTCCCTAGAAGAAATTCTCCAGAGAAGAGGTTATAGGACAGAAAAAGAGAGGGCACTATTAATAAGTGTGTTGTTCTTGTTGTGTGCTGTGGAGTCAATTTTCAATTCATGAACCAAAAAAACAAACATGTTGCTGTCAAATCAATTCTGACTCATAGCAACCCTGCAGGAAAGAGAAGAACTGCCCTACAGGGTTTCCAAGAAACAGCTGGTAGAATCGAGCTGCCGATCTTTTGATTAGCAGCCTGAGCTCTAGAACCACCCCACAGGGTTTTCTAGACTGTAATCTTTACGGGAGCAGATTGCCAGCCAGGTCTTTCTCCCACGGAGCTGCTAGGTTCATTCCAATCTCCAAAATTTTTTCCGTTAGCAGCCGAGTGCTTAACTATTGTACCACCAAGACTCTGGACTCCTTAACAAGTGAATACCTCATACAAATACTACAATATTAACACTCCACATTGAGGGTGCCAAAATTTGCGTCAAACTGCAATGTGTCGAACTTTCAATTTCTTCTTAAGTCCATTCTGCCAATTATTCGGATTTTCATTTGTTTTGGAACAACAAATTCGTCTCCTTGTGACATGACCGCAGGAGTAAATCCTTTCAATTGGCTGCAAGCAAAAATAACTGAATCCTTTGGTTAAGTAGAATCTTTTTTTTTTTTTACCCTTAACTTTAAAATAAAACTTTTAAAAAATTTTATTCTGGCAAAATATATAACAAAACATTTGCCACTTTAACCATTTTATGTGTACAACTCAGGGACGTTAATTACATTCAATCCATTGTGTAGCCATCACTACTACCCATTTCCAAAGAACAGAATAAGAACGTTTTAAGGTACAGTTTCTCGAGCACTGAGGCTCCAAGAAGTGAGCTAACTTTTACAAGACTCCACAGCAAGAACTGCCTGACCGAAGGCTCACACTGTGTCTCCACTTCTAAATCAGCGTCACATGATTTCATACCACCTCCAAAATAACTCTAAAAAGAATGCAGCACGGTACATCCTAAGAACCTTAGCAACTGAGGAGGGGTTTCAATCAGGCCCAGAAACTATGTTAAAATCCAGAATCTTTGAGTGGAAAGAGATGAGAAAACAGCTACAGAGAAGAGATTTTCCAAGCCACACAGGAGGCAACCTAATCCTGACCTCCTATCAACCTCCAGGTCCATTTTCTTTTGGCTACACTTTCGCGGCCCAATTTATCGAGGAGGGAGGGGCAACGAGGAGCCCTGGTGGCGTAGTGCTTAAGAGCTCGGCTGCGAACCAAAAGGTTGGGAGTTTGAATCCACCAGCCGCTCCTTGGAAACCCTATGGGGCAGTTCTACTCTGTCCCATAGGGTCGCTATGAGTCGGAAACAACTCGACAGCAAAGGGAGGAAGGGCAACGATGGATTGCAGTATGACTTAAAAATAATTGGCCAGAGATATACACCACTGCATCCTATTAGCAGAATGGCAATTATTAAAAAGGAAAGAAAAACGACAGGTGCTGGCAAAGTTGTGGAGAAACTGGAACCCTCATTCATTGCTGGTGGGAATGTAAAATAGTACAGCCACTGTGGAAAACAGATTAGCAGTTCCTTAAAAAGTTGCACACAGATTTACCACATGACCAGCAATTCCACTCCTAGGTAAATACTCAGAAGAAGCAAAGGCAGGAACACAAACAGAAACCTGTACAAGTGTTCACTGCAGCACTTTTCACAATAGCCAAAAGGTACGAAAAATCTGTATGTCCATCGTGAGATGAATGGATAAACAGGATGTAGAATACACACACAATGGAGTATTATACAGCTGACAAAGAGAAATGAAGTCCTGATGCATGCCAACAACACGGATGAACCTTCAAAACACCATGCTGAGCAAATTAAATCAGTTGAAAAGTACACTGTATGATCTCATTTATATGAAATAAGCAAATATATAGAAAACAAAGATTATTAGTCATTATTAGGGGTGGGAGAGAGGGGGAGCCTTCACTTAGGGGTCACTCAGTTTATGTTAGTAGTGGTAGAATGATTTTGGAAAAAGACAGCGAGTATCGCTGCACAATGTCAGAAATGTAATCGATGTTAACCAAACTGTACATGTAGAAATTGCTGAAATGGCTATATTTTGTTACATATATTTTTACCAGAATAAGAGAAAAATACATTTAAATGATTGCTCAACCCAGCAATACACTCCTTGGTATAGACTCAAAAGAACTGAAAGCAGGAACACAGACACTTGTAAACAAATGCTCACGAAGCACTATTCGCAATAGGTAAAAGTTGGAAACCTAAGTACCCATCAACAGATGATTGGATAAACAAAATGTGGAACATACGTACAACGGAATAAAACTCAGTCATAAGGAGAAAGGAAGTCCTGATACACGCTACAACACGGATAAGCCTTGAAAACATTATGTTGAGTGAAATCAGTTACGAAAAAATAAGTATTACACGATCCCACTTACATGAAATATCCAGAATGGGCAAATATATAGAGAGCAAAGCTTACTAGTGGTTACCAGGGGTAGGCGGGATGAGGGAAAAGGGAGCCATTGCTTAGTGGGCACAGTTTCTGCTAATGGTGGTGGAATAATTGGGAAACAGGGGCGATGGCTGTACAAAATGATGATTGAAATCCAAGTCACTAAACTGTACATGTACAAATGTTGAACTGAAAAATATTTTGTATTAGATATTTTTAAGACAATAAGACAATTAAAAAAGAAAGTGACTGGTCGGAGTTTCCCATTGTCAGGGCACTCTGGTCATTGGAGGGAATAGCACCTCCATGAATGTTAAGAGAAAGTTGTGGCAAGGCTCCCGGGGATGTTGTTCCCTGATGGGAATTACCATGAGGTCACGTGGATGTCCTTGAGAAGGCTAATGAACCTGTCCACCAGGGGCACACACAGCGGGCCTAGGATGGCATCCCAGTTGGGATGCATGTACTCCGACACACGCCTCTGGGCTTCGCTCTCACAGCAAAAATAATCCTTGGATGGCGTCACGATGTACGGGATGAAATAATAATTTCCACTAGATGCCTGGAAAAAAGAAACAAAAATGTTTCAGAAAGTAATTGATGCAGAAGCACAGCTGTGGCTTTGGGCAGGCGGGACCCTGATGGAGATAATGCCTGAGTAGGTGACCCACAATGTTGCAAAATGATTACTTATCTATTAGGCAACAAAACCACCACGCATCTGTCAGTTTGTCGTGCTGTGGTGGCTTGTGTGTTGCTGTAATGCTGGAAGCTATGCCACCAGTATTTCAAATACCAGCAGCATCACCCCTGGTGGACAGGTTTCAGCTGAGCTTCCTGACTAAGACAGACTAGGAAGAAAGACCTGGCAACCTACTTCTAAAAAAAAGCCTGGCCAGTGAAAACCTTAGGAATAGCAGAGGGACACTGTCTGATGTAGTGCCATAAGATGAGCCCATCAAGTTGGAAGGCACTCAAAATATAACAAAGGAAGAGCTGCCTCGTAAAAGTAGAGACAAGCTTTCAGGCCTTCATTTGCTGAGATGGCATGACTCAAAACAAGCAGCAGCAGCAGCTGCAAACAGCCATTAATAATAGGAACATGAGATGTATAAGTATGAAACTAGGAAAACTGGAAGTCGTCAAATGAAATGGAACGCACAAACATCGACATCCTAGGCATTAGTGAGCTGAAATGAACTGGTATTGGCCATTTTGAATCAGACAATCATACGGTCTTACTGTGCCGGTAATGACAAATTGAAGAGGAACAGCATCATATTCATTGTCAAAAAGAAGATTTCAAGATCTATCATGAAGTACAATGCTGTCAGTGACAGGATAACATCCATATGCCTACAAGGAAGACCACTTAATATGACTACTATTCAAATTTACCCACCAACCACTAATACCAAAGATGAAGAAATTGAAGATTTTTACCAACTTCTGCAGTCTGAAATTGATCAAACATGCAATCAAGATGCACTGATAATTACTGGTGACTGGAATGCAAAAGTTGGAAACAAAGAAGGATCAGTAGTTAGAAAATATGGCCTTGGTGATAGAAATGATGCCAGAGATCACATGATCGAATTTTGCAAGACCAATCCCCTACCTATACATTGGAAATACTTTTACAACAACATAAACAGCGACTATACGTGAGGACCTCACCAGATGGAATACACAGGAATCAAATCGACTACATCTACGGAAAGAGACAATGGAGAAGCTAGATATCACCAGTCAGAACAATGCCAGGGGCTGACTGTGGAACAGACCATCAATTGTACATCTGCAAGTTCAAGGTGAAGCTGAAGAAAATTAAAACAAGTACTACCTTGAGTATATCCCACCTGAATTTAGAGACCATCTCAAGTATAGATTTGAGGCACTGAATACGAATGACCAAAGAAGAGACGAGTTGTGGGATGATTATCAAGGACATCATACATGATGAAAGCAAAAAGGTCATTAAAAAGACAGTAAAGAAAGGCCAAAATGGATATCAGAAGAGACTCTGAAACTTGCTCTTGAACGTCTAGTAGCTAAAGCAAAAGGGAAATGATGGCATAAAAGAGCTGAACAGAGTACTATAATGAAATGTGCAAGCACCTAGAGTTAGAAAACCAAAAAGGAAGAACACACTTGGTATTTATCAAGCTGAAAGAACTTAAGAAAAAATTTAAGCCTCGAGTTCCAATATTTATGGATTCTACAGGGAAAATATTAAATGATGCACAAAGCATCAAAGGAAGATGGAAGGAATACACAGAGTCACTGTACCAAAAAGAATTGGTCAACGTTCAACCATTTCAGTAGCATAAGACCAAGAACTGATGATACTGAAGGAAGAAGTCCAAGCTGCACTGAAGGCAGTGGCGAAAAACAAGGCTCCAGGAATTGACGGAATACCAATTGAGATGTTTCAACAAATGGACGCAATGCGGGAAGCGTTCACTTGTCTAATGCCAAGAAATTTGGAAGACAGCTACTGGGCCAACCAATTGTAAGAGATCCATATACACACTCATTCCAAAGAAAGGTGATCCAATGGAATGTGGAAATTATCAAACAATATCATTAATATCAAATGCAAGTAAAACTTTGCTGAAGATAATTAAAAAACGGTTGCAGAAGTACAATGACAGGGAACTGCCAGAAATTCAAGCCAGATTCAGAAGAAGACGTGGAACCAGGGATATCATTGCTGATGTCAGGTGGCTCATGGCTGATGTCAGATGGATCATGGCTGGAAGTAGAGAATACCAGAAAGATGTTTACCTGTGTTTTATTAACTATGCAAAGGCATTTGACCGCGTGGATCATAACAAATTATGGATAACATTACAAAGAATGGGAATTCCAGAACACTTGATTGTGCTCATAAGAAACCCGTACATAGACCAAGAGACAGTCGTTTGAACAGAACAATGGGATACTGAGTGGTTCAAAATCAGGAGAGGTATGTATCAAGTTTGTATCCATTCACCGTACTTATTTATTCTGACTCAATGTGATCCCATGGGACAGAGTAGAACTGCCTCATAACGTTTCCAAGGCTGCAAATCTTTACGGATCTTTTTCCCACGGAGCAGCTGGTGGGTTCGAACTGCCAACCTTTCAGTTAGCAACTGTGACACTAGGGCTCCTTAATACTCAGGTAAAACTATCTTTTTTCTAAGGAGTAACTGTAGCTGGACTACGAATTGTGATCCTTTGTAATGCATAAACGTGATCTTCAAAGAGCATTCAAGGAATGCTCAATTTCGAGCATATTTGGAGGATTAAAATGCATTCTTATCATTACAGTCAATCTTTGATCTACATCGCCTCTGTTAAAAAGATGATTTGGACATATATATGCTAGGTACTGTCACAGATTCTGGCTCAAGTGGCAGAGCTGTGGCAGCAGAGGCTGGTGAAGGCTTCTCCACAGTTGGAGAAGCTCTGACCCTCTGAGGACCATTTAGCCCCTTTAAGAGAAAAATAAGTAAGAGAGGGAACTGCCTGAACATTGAAACCAGCCGTGCAAGTTTAATGCACAGGACTAGGGAGACAGCGGGAATCTTGAGACTTGGGAAGGGAAAAATACCTCCGCTGAGAAAATGTTTTAAGTAAATGCTCCAAAATTTGACAAAAAGAAATTAGGACCAATGACTAAATTTTAAAAAGCAATTCATGAACTACAAAATGAAAGCAGAGGCTTTTGAATGCATTACTTTGATTCTTTTTAAAATTGTATTTATTTTGTTTTTGAGACTCTCCACAGCAAAACACATACCAATTCAACCGTTTCTACATGCACAGTTCAATAACAGTGATTATTCTGAGTTGTGCAACCATGCTCACCCTTCCTTTTCTAAGTGGTTTCTCCCCCATTAACATAAACTCACTGTCCCCTAAGGTTTCTATCTTTCAAGCTGCTCTTGCCAATTTGATCCCATATAGATAGTTCTTAAAAGAGCATAATGCTCAAGGCAGACATTTTTCACTACTTAAGCTAAACTATTGTTTGCAGCCCTGGTGGTGCAGTGGTTAAGAGCTTGACTGCTAACGAAAAGGTCAGCAGTTCGAATCCACCAGCCGCTCCTTGGAAACCCTATGGGGCAGTTCTACTCTGTCCTATAGGGTCGCTATGGATTGGAATCGACTCAAAGACTACAGGTTTGTTTTTTAACTGTCTGGTTGTAAGAAAGACTTCAGAGGATATTTTTGGTTTAAGGTTTAAAGATGATCTCAGGGCAATAGTTTCAGGAGTTCTTCCAACCTTCATGGCTCCAGGAAATCTGGAATCCATGAGTTTTGAAATGCTGTTCTGCATTTTTCTCCATTTGATCAGGATTGTTCTATAGAATCTTTGATCAAAATGTTCAGTAATGGTAGCCGAGCACCATCCAGTTCTGGTCTCATGGCAAAGGAGGCAGTTGTTCTTGGAGGCATGAGCCACACATTCTACATCCTCTTCCTATTCCTGACTCTCCTTCTCCCTGTGTTGCTCCTGGCGAATAGAGACCAACCATTGTGGCTTAGATGCCCATTTCAAGCTTTTAAGACTCCAAGCACTACACAACGAGAAACTAGGAGGTAGAACAGAAGCACTAAACATCAGGCCAGTGAACTGGGATGTCCCATGTAACCATAATCCTAAACCTCCGAACCAAGAAACAAAATTCCATGAGGTGTTTGGTTGTATATAAGCAGCCTCAGCAGCTACTCCTTTTTATGTCATTGTTGTAAAAGTATCACATAACTTTCTCCTATTCAACTTTTTATAGATATACATCTAATCGACAGCAATTACGATAGATAATTGGCTGTGCAACCCTGGCCTTAATCAATCCGATAGTTCTATCACCATTAACCCTCCCTCCCACCCCTGGTAACCACTAATTAAGTGAGGTCATACAATATTTGTCTTTTTGTGATTGACTTATTTTACCAAGCATGATGTCTTCCAGCTCCATCCATATTACAGCAGGTATCAAGACCATAAAAGAAATTAAAAAAAGACTATCACTTTTGTTCTTATAAAGAAGGGGCCAAACATCTTCAAGTGATGGAACACATTCATACTTTTTTTGGTAGGAAGACCAGAAATGAAAAAGAAAAACATTGATTAGCATAACATACATTCAATACTGAACTAGGATCAGGTATTTCTAATTGTTACATTTAGAAATGGAAACATCTCAAGAATCCAGCTAATTAAAATAAATTTAGCCAAGGCAGCTTAATTGCCTACATAAAGGTTAAAACCAGCATGCTAACCACATTAATATGTAAACCCTTATTTTAAACACTCTCCAAATATTTCCTAAAGGATGATTCCGATATAGTAAGTGAGGGCAGAGTCAAAAACCACTGGGCTCTGCTAACTTGGCCAAGTGGAATTTCCAGAATCATTACTATCTACAAATATCACCACCACGAAAAGACTGTACTATACTACCGCTAGATTAAGGCATAGGTACTTGTTTCAAAAAGTTCTTATTATAAAAGTGTAATTATAGAATCTTAAATGTCATACTCTTTAAAAGCTGCCTAACACTCTATCTA